ATTTAATTTTTTTTAGAATGCATTAATATTTTGTCCTGCACTGTTTGCATTTAACTGATTGCTCGTCGTAGTTGATATTTGCAAAAAGTATTATGCATAGTTGGTGAATTGAGAATGACAGCAATTGTATGGTAGACATGGACATTTGTATTGCTGTGGACGCATGCAAATAAATACATAAATACAAACTCATATTTCCGTGTGACCCGGTTTCATGTTTCCAGTCGAGGTCAAAACTATAAGTTTTTGCAAACAGAAAGTAAACATGTGGCGAAGTGCTACACGTCTAAAATAAAAGTAAATAAATTGCGCTTCCATATGCATATGGGTGTTTCCATGGGAGGGCCACCTTACACTGCGGTGACCATCCGTTCCTTTGTCATTTGAAAATTATTTCTTATCGAATTTCCACTAGGCATTGAAATGAACAAAAAATTTATGCCATTTAAAAAAATGCCATGTGGAAATGAACTTAATGACTGACTATTTTTTTAATGTAATGATACGATTATTTTTTAATGCCCGACTTAGCCATTTTTGCCATTTAATGCCCAGTGGAAATCCAGCATTAAACTGACCAATAAAGAAGAATAAATATTTTAACGAACTATAACACGCAAAAAAAAGAGAGATTGTCTAATAAAAATTAAAATATTTGAAAGTAACACCAGTAGAGCGATTCCCATTTTTCCTAACGACCGATATTCGTTATTTATAATAAACGACGTTTGTAGCTTGCAGTAGCGAACAGGCTATTCTCGAAAACACACTTAGCGACAGAATTCGATAGACATGTCGATAAAGATGTTTACGACGATTGTCGTTAACTACAAAGACAAATATGGCAATATTGACGTTTTACACTCAATATTTAAAAGAAACATTTTATTGTTGCGCGTATTATTGTTGTCGGGATTGTTGTTTGTGAATACAATATGAAAAAAACATGCCAAGAGCTACTACGGAGCAGTACCATAGGATGCTGGACTTCTTCCCTGGCAATAAGGGCCTCGGCAAGGCGAATTTAATAAGGTGGTGTTAACCGTATATAAGTAAAAAATTACACTAACAAATTATACGCACAATTACAGTATGAATTACAACAATCACATAATTTTGACGTTATGCTTTCCACGTCTAAAAATTCAGCTGTGGCTCTAGTTTTCGACGTAACGGCACTTGAAAAGTTGCTTAGGGCTGGTTGCTCAAAGCCTGGTTGACACTAATCCCCGGTTAAACATCGTTATCGACGTTACCGACACTATGTTATTTGCATGGAGCCGAAAACGTCGATAACGATGTTAATCGGTGATTAGTGTCAATCAGGCTTTGAGCAACCGGCCTTTAAAGTAGTAAGTTTTTTTTTTGTATAAATAACTCCGACAAAGTCCGTTAAAGTCATTTTACTAAACTTTTTCACGTAACTATTTTTTAATATAACCTTCGCTATAAAAATCAGTCATGTTGAAAATTTTATTAAATCGACACAAAAACTGATTTATTTACAAACAAGTTAAAATTGAAGCAAATGTTCAAGTATCGTTATCTCGAACACTGGAGCCAATCTGGCAAAACGGAGGGAGCCATTGAATTTAGAATGCCCCAATTAAGTGAGATCAACAATCAAAACTTTTGCCTAAGTTTTCAACTTGCACAGTGTAATAAATAAAAAGAATAATAATAAAAAGCACATCTATATGTGATAAATGTTTATTTATTAGTTATTTTTTATTATAATAGTTTGCTTGCCGATGACTTTTGCCTAATATTTCTCAATAAAAACTTAAAACAATTATTATCGTAAAACTTTTCAACGACAAAATATTCGTAGCTAGGCTATCGACAAATTTCGTTAGACAACTGTCAAAGCTCCCGACAATATTCGCTAAAAGTGTGCTTGACAATTGCAGTTAACGAAACTTGTCGGAATCGTTAGCTAACGATACGAATATTGTCGTTAAGAAAAATGGGAATCGCACTACAGAAGTAGGTTGTTGTTAGCAGGATTTGATTTAACGCAATATGTGCAGCACCATATATCAAGATTATATAGATGTTCTTGAATTAACCGCGAGCAAGTAATCAGAATTTTCTCTGGGTAATACAGGAAAACGATCGAATGCGATTTATTGGCATTAACCTGCGACTTTAGGAAACCCCACAAGAAAAGATATTGTGGGATTAAGTCACACAGTCCACGAAACCGCTGCGAGAGATAACACTGTGCGACAAGCGAAACCAGTCTGAACTTTGTTAACATTTTCTGAAAGTATACCTATCCAGTTGTAACGCACTCGCTGGTTTTGCAAAAGTTGGCTCGTATTTTTTATTTATCACCTAAAAAAAACATCAAACAATTTCAAAAATAAATGTCTGAGCGAAATTAAAGGCACATAGTAAAATTTCATGGGAATTATTTTCATAGAACATTTTAACCCACCAGCTCCTGCCAGATAGGGTCGTTTTGACTTTATTTCGAGAAACCGCCCAACGAGTAAGTTTGGAAGTTCATTAGAGGATTAAAATTTTCCTAAGAATAATTCTCTAGATTCTTAGAAAAATTTTACAACGGGTCTTCTCAGGCAAAATCTTCATGTACCAAATGTAAAAAAATGTAATGGCTTTTGAAAATTTTAATTCATGGAAAAAGTGTGTCAAATTTCACTTGAGTTTGAAATGTTAGCTGTGTGCTAAGCTTGAAGTATCGTGTTATTTGAGTAGGCCTATCAGTTTTTCGAATTCACTGAATTTTACAAATTTTGAAATTATGTACTTAATTTTAAATTTTTTTTTGTTGTATTTTCGAATTTGTATTATTTTACACAGTTGAAAGTCATAGCAAGTTTAAATATTTTCACAGGTTTAGAAAACTACGAAAATTCCAGAATTTTGAATTTTATAAAATTATTATATTGAAAGAAATGTCAAGATTCTTATTTTTAGGATAATTTCCAAAATTTCAAAAACTATCGAAATCCGGGAGATTCTAGAAATTTTGGTAAAATGAGAATATTTTGAAATGTACAAAATTATTGAGATTTTAGAAATTTTTATATTTTCCAAAATTTTGAGAATTTTCTAGAATAATCTAAAATCCATCCTAAAATGTAAAAATGTGAAACATCACGAGTTGTCGAAAAATGCTTATGTTCATGGTACTTGTGTATAAAAAATAGAATTTTCTTAGAATTCTAAAATATATTAACAATTTTGAAAAATTATAAAATTTTTCCACTTTCTGAACTTTCCCAAAATTTTGTATTGATAAAATGAAGTTTGAAAATTTAAAATTTTTTGAAAATTTTTAAAACATCAACGTCCAAAAATTTGTTGAATCTTCAAGAATTACGAAAATTTTTAAATTTTGAAAAACGGCGTAATGTGAAAATGTTTTCAACATTCGAAAACTTTTATTTTCGTTCGATCAACCTTGTATAATCGACACTTTTACTTAGAAAATATTTGTTAGAATTCCTACAATTCTCAAAATTTTCGAAAAATAAAAAATTTCTAGAAATCAAGTATTCATCAGTATTTGAAATTGCGGTGATTTTTAAATTTATATACACGATATATGTTGAAAAATTTCCCACGCCCCCAAGAATTGCTGCTGGGTCCGCCCCTATAGTGCTATCGATAAGAATATGAACTGATTTATGATTTTTAGTGGTTTTCGGATTCTTCGGAATTTTTCGGAACGGGATGTTTTATAGTTTATGAGTATTGGAACCCGTTGGGACTTCTTTTGCTCCTTTCAGGATTATTTTGTCACTTTTTGGAACTCCTTCCAAACCTTCGGTATATGTTCGAAACCTATCGACACTTTTTCGAAACTTTTAGGGACCTTTCGGCAAAATTTACGCAGATTGCAGGCTTTTTTCCATATGTTTTATATTATTTTTAGGAATTTTTTTTCGGAACCCTTCGGTATATTTTTGGGTACATTCGGTATTTTTCGTCTATTATTTTTAGATTTTTCGGAAGTTTAAATTTTTAAAGGTACATATTAAAGGTACATTTAGATCGTAATTTAGCTTTTAAAAGTGTCAAAAGTGCCGAATATTATCTGCTCAAAAAATTTCAACTAAATTTGGCTTCAAACGGTTGGCTTAAAAAATTTCATGCATATTTTTTAAGTGTATATTCGGTAGGGTCCCTGCAAATATGTGTGTGGCAAATACTATCTGTACGTAAATATTTATATATACAGTGACGAACAAAAGTATTGGCATAGTGAATTTATCGCAATATATGCAAACATTTTTATTCTTATTTATTTGCGATAATTTTTATTAAAAATATGGTTCATACTCCACCAAAAAACATAAAAATCAAATCTCCAAACTTTGTGGAAAACTCAGGAAAATTCAATAAATTTGCATACCAATTTGCAACTTTTTATTCAGATTTTTTAGAAAAATTCTAAGAATGCAATTTTATAGCCCATTCAGTTTTTGTAAAGTGCAAGTTTAAAGTTGCTAGAAAATCGCGTTGCTTTTTGGGAAATTTTTTTCACGCAGGTTCATCCATACAATCGACAATTATTTTTTGTATAGAGAAAATGAGCAACACCTTCTACCAAATAAAAAGTTGCAAATTGGTATGCAAGTTTATTGAATTTTCCTGAATTTTGCACAAAGTTTGGGGATTTGATTTTTATATTTATTGGTGGAATATGAACCATATTTTTTTTCTTATATTATCGAGAATAGATAAGAATAAAAAAATTTGCATATACTGTGCCAATAATTTAGTTCGTCACTGTACATTTATTGTAGCAAAAAAGTTTTTTTTACTGTTAATATAAATCCTTTTAAACTAACCTAAAACTATACATATACAATGGCTTAATGGTAGTGTGTAAATTTCTGTCTAAATATTTTCATTTGCGCATTCGACATATTTCCATATGTTTATTTACATACATATGTATGTAAAAGTGTATGAAATTGAAATGCCCATCAAATGAATAAAAAATAATATACATAACGTTTACTTACTGTCCGCGTGACGTGTGCAACAACAATGTGACCAACGTACTCGCACCGGGACAAGTGCAATTGTTGGCTAGCAGCGCATATTTGAATTCATCCTCGCAGACGACATGCTCCGCAAATTTCACATGAAGTTTGTGCTCCGGTCTGCGGTTGGCGGTTGGCGGTCCGCCGTTCCCAAATGATGGTTTGCCAAAAACCAGCAACGAACCAAATATAAAAAGTGCCAACAGCCATGCAAAAATGGAAGAACAAAAATGGAGCCAAGTCCATGTGTTGCGGTCGAACGAGAATGCGTCGAGTAGCCAAAATCCATTCGAATCCATTCATTGTTACAATTGTTGATATCCGCAGGGTTCCATTGTTTATGTATACGCAGCAAATATTGGATGTTTTGTTTTTGCATTTTAAGGTCGCGTTAGTTAAAGTGGTCCAGTGTCATTGTTGCGGTGGACGATCCAGCGTTGTGCGAGGGGGGTGCGAGTGTAGCATTTCATGAAAAATTAACAATAATAAAGCGAACAATAAAATGATTTAAGTTCGGAATTTTATGTTTTCATTTGCGTACATACAAGTATAAATACTACATACATATATATACATAAATATAAAACTACCATTGGAAAAACTATAACCGCAACCGTGTCGTTTTCCACTGCTGGGATATCTTCTAACTTTGTGTAAGGTGTTTACCCTTTCGCGCTTGAGTTCCGACCTACGTTAGTACATCTGTACTACTGCTCTGCACTCCCCTTCTGAGTCATTGTTGGCATATATTGTAGGGCGCTCGCTATCAGCGCCCATTTACCATTGCGACTAATTAATTGTACCAACCCTGCCGGAAATTTAAAAAGTACTTTGTTACCAACTACAAGTGGTTTTTTCTTGTAGGCAATTAACTTTATTAAGCAAGTCAATTATCCGACTCTCCATTTGATTTCAACTACTTTAAGACGCATTTGGTTTAAATGACTTCAAAATTAGTAGGGCTTTGCCATTTACTAATTTTATGTTTTTCCGTTTGAATACGCTTTCGCCCTGCACTTCACATATGCATTTTCATAGTTAGGAGACACAAAAAAAAAATGTTTATTATCATTTTAAAATGTTGCTTCTGGCGGCATTCAAACCTGAACCTTCTGGAAGTTAAAAAACCAACAACATTCTCCTCTGCACACTCAGATACAGCCAGATATGTAAATTTGTTTTCAAATGTTCAGCTTGAAGTACAGTGAGCGAGTCAAACACTTCCCAGTCTGCATATGATTTAAACTAATTTCAACTGAATTTGGCTTAAGGATATCTAAAATAAGTAAGTGGCTGAATGGATAGTAAATACAGAATTTAATGAGCCGAGCCGTAGATTAGCCAGCAGCATTTGCTTCAAAGTAATTTATTTCCAACGACTTCATTTTTGAGACTGTTGCTTTATTCCGACAGGATAGTTACATACACGCTAGGGTGGTAAAACCAAGTAAAGTCTGAATTTAAATGCTCTCACCCCCTAAGATTCTCTTATGGCGAAAAAATAGACCCCTGTTTTTTTTTTTTTGAAATCAAAAAATATTTAGAGCGCCCAAAGTTTTCCCTGTATTTAGTATAGGAAAAAATTATATGGTATAGGATTCTTGAAAATATATATTTTGCGATAGAAAAACTCGGATTTTCTTTAGGGGACTTCCAATAATAATACGTGATTGTTAATTTAACCATTTTTTTATACAAACTATATTTTATAGTTAACCCAAGAACCCCAAAAAATGCAATGGTAAAATAAACAATTGCGTAATATTATCGGAGGTCTCGTAAAGAGAAGCCGAATTTCCTTAACGACATACATTGATTTTAGAGAATTCTATACCATTTCTACGAAAATTGTTTTTTTTTTCAGGTAAAATGCATGGAAAACTTTTAGCGACCCCGAGATACCTTTTGATCAAAAAAAAAATAATTAGTGTCTATTTTTTTCGGTACAGAACCTTTCTAGTGTTTGAGAGCATTAAAATTCCGACTTTTATTTTTTGCACCACCCTTATATGTACATAATGGTACTTACAAAGTTGGTTCAAATTCAGGGTATGTCGATCCATTGTTT